TTATTTGTGATTGCAGTATCTGATGAAAATAAGTTGGAATGTTGGATTTTCAACCTCATCCCCCTTTTCCTTTTTAAGACTTTCAGTCTAAGCTGACACATCGGTATAAGGGTAGGAGAGAAATGGTTAAGAAAGACTAGGAGAGCAAAGAAGACAGAAAAATGTTTTTCCTTTTCATAAAAGATAGATCTTCCACACCTCACATGTTTGGAGAAACTGGCTTTTGTAATCAGCTTCTAGTTGTTGTACTTTGGATTGCTTAGATGTTACACTGTCCAATTGTATCTGTCTGCTTAGCTGTGTGTGGAGTCCCAGTCATCGTGGAGGGCAACTCTTGAAAGAGTTTTGAACTTAAGAATGTTGACATTGTTTCACAGTCAAAGATGTTAATGATTTTTATGGAAAGAAGTAAAATATTTAATGTGTTTCAATATTTGGGCAATATTTGATTTCACAACAGGAATTTTGGTCCTCCTTTTTTGTAGTTGGCTGTGAGTTTGAATGAGAGGGTCTTTTGTAAAAATAAGCTTTAATGCTATAAACATCATACCCTCTGGATATAAACTGATGAGTTTTTAAGATAAAGCCTGGAGAGTCTAGTAAAAAGCTGCCAAAAATGTATCCCTTTTAAAGACTTTGCACTGACAAACTGCTTCAGACATATATAAATCTTAAGGGTGATTACTACAGCTGTGTTAACTATGCTGAGGTTATTTTTCCCTCAGGTGTTTAGCAGAGTTTAAATCTGTGTGTGCCTTGAAGCTTGTTTCCTTCTGCAAAGTGTTCTGTGAAGTGAGAAGTGATTTCATTTAAAATAAAAATAAAAATAAAAAGAGACGTTGCCATCTAGCATGTGTTGAGCCACAAATGAAGTAATTTTTCATTTAACTATGATGGTTAAAAGGGTCTAAATTAGTTGGTCTGTTATATTTCATCTATGTTTCTTGTCCATTTTTAGGCCTAGAAGAAATTGCAAAAGAAAAAGAGAAGTTGAAAAAGGTAGAAAGCATGCATATCAAAGAAGAAGAATTTGAGACAGAAGAAAAATTACACTGTTTAAATACAACTCACTGTGAGCAAAAGGAAGATCTGAGAGACAAGGACAACACTAATTTGTTTCTACAAAAGCCTGGGTCATTTTCAAAACTAAGCAAACTGTTAGAGGTAGCAAAAATGCCACCTGAATCTGACATTATGTCCCCAAAATCTAATGGCAGTGGAGCAAATGGCTGCACATTATCTTACCCAAGTAACTCAAAAAGCTCTGTCTGCAGTCTTCAGCCCACTGCATCACAAAGCACCACTGAGAAGTCTGATTCTAATAATCTTTTCTGTCCTAATGCAAGTGGGACAGGAAAGTTTTACAGTTCTCCACTAATTCCAAATGATCAGTTGCTAAAGACTCTTACTGAAAAGAGCCGACAGTGGTTCAGCCTTTTACCAAGAACACCCTGTGACGACACATCAGTTACCCATATAGAAACACCAGCTACTACTTCACTTACTCCTCAGTCACATCCACCACCAAAGTCACCTTCGCCTGTTCCATCGCCTCTCCTGGGCTCAACCTCTGCACAGAGTCCAATGGGATTAAGTGCTTTTGCACTGTCACCACTGCAGGTAAATGAATTTTGGAGTAGTCTGAATTTGCTGTGCTTATTGGGGCAGGATTTCTGTTTAGACAAATTGCTTCACAGAAGTGCTATCACTGTACCTTTTTTTTTTGTTGTTGTTTCTAAATATTAATAACTAATTCCATGTTACAGAAGTTTTACAATACTAGAAGTTTTTTGATAAAAAAAGATTATGATAGGTAAAATTAGGTAAGCCAATGTATGATATTTTGTACATTTAATTTCATTTGGCTTTTAGGAGGTTGGCCACTGGTACTACATGAAAAGCAAACAAATAAATAAAAACTAGTTTTCAGAAATGTGAGAAACCACACCCTCTCTTTAAAAGCTGGGGTTTTTTTAAGCATTAACAGGGCCCTAGTAAGGAGTTTTGCACGTCAGTGTTAGGTTAGTTTTTCTTAAACTAATAGAAGTACTGAGTAAAGCCTCCTTTATGTTCTGATTCTTGTATGACAAATAGCATCCCAATTGTAATTCGGGGATTTTGGTAATAACTAATAATGGTAGTTGTGATTGTGTTAACATATATGTTCTCTGTAGCAGATGAAGACTGGACTACCTATAATGGGACTTCAGTTTTGTGGATGGCCGCCAGGAGTTCTTACTTCAAATGTTCCATTTTCATCTCCTTTACCTGCTCTTGGATCAGGGTTGGGATTATCAGAAGTGAATGGTAACTCATTCTTGGCATCTAGTGTTCCTGCAAGTAAAAGTGAATCACCAGCACTACAGACTGAAAAAACAGCTTCTGCCCCTTCTGCAGCAGTTGAAGTAGCCAAGCCAGTAGATTATCCTAACCCCAAACCTATACCAGAAGGTAAGTATAATACAACAACAAGATGGAACTATGTGAAGGATAATTTCTGCAGTGCCACTACCATGTTATAATTTATTTTTTTTAATAATTTGCCTATTGAATTTGGCTAGATGATTTCTCTAATCGATTGTGTATGGTCACATAAAAAATACCTGCAAAGTGTTTATATGCTTGTCTTGATTTAGAAATGCAGTATGGGTGGTGGAGGATTACTGATCCAGAGGACCTAAAATGTTTGCTTAAAGCACTCCATCTCAGGGGAATCAGAGAAAAGGCCTTACAAAAGCAAATACAGAAACACATGGATTACATCACTCTGGCCTGCATCAAAAATAAGGATGGTATGTAATTGATATTTATGTTACACATGATGTTGGGGCATAAGGCGACTGGCATAGAGCTCTTTGAAACGTATTTAGATAGAATAGCAGCTGGCGAAAAAAGGTAAAGGGACATTTATTTAGATAGAATAGCAGCTGGCGAAAAAAGGTAAAGGTACATTGTCTGTAGCTGCCTTTTCACTAGCCTTGTTCTGGAAAGGTACAGGATTGGAGAAATCCCGTTTAATGTAAGTTGCTCAGGTGGCATCAGTGTTGGCAACCTTCTTAAGCTCTTTCATCTTTGTAACACTCCAGCTCAGCCTCTCCTTCCCCTTCTTGCCTTTAAATTGCAAGTTTGAAAACCTACAGAATTTTTTGTCCATATTTGGTATCTTAAGAACAGTACACTTCTACAATAGGTCAACATTTGACTGGAGTGATAGGTAAATGAACTTGAATTTACTCAGAGAAGTCATAATACTAATCAAAGGAACAAAAATGTGATTCTCAAATACAGTTGCAATTATTGATACAAATGAAAATGAAGATAACCGGGTAACTCGAGATGTTGTGGAAAACTGGTCAGTAGAAGAACAAGCAATGGAGACGGATCTTGCTATTCTTCAGCAGGTGGAAGATCTAGAGAGGAGAGTTGCATCAGCTAGTTTACAAGTTAAGGTAAAACTTTTAGTAAAATGTCTCTTTAAAATAAGTGGTAAGAATGTAACGTAGATAGTAGCAGTCCTTTTGCTGTCGGTAAGTGCCTTCTTACTCATCTCTAATTATATGCAAATAAAACAAATCCACTGCAGCAGTATCATGGATATTTGCCTTTAAAACCTTTTATTGCACTTAAATCTTACGCTGGCGATGCTCAGAATGACAGTTCCTGGAGAGTGTTCTTGTACAGTGTACGGTTCCCTGCATGTTTTCTTAACCTTGATTGCATATAGACTACTGAATTATCGTGGGCTTTGCCACAGTTCTGCCTGGTTTGGGTGACTGTTGTTGTTAAGGCTTTCAGAAAAGCTTACAAGTCCATCATAATACTTCGCTTGATATTGTAGAGTCATTGAGAACATGTGATGGTTGTGAGTGTGAAAAAGTCGAGAATTTACATCACAGTGGCAATTTTTCCAAGGCAGGTGTAAGGATGTCACACTGCACTGTTCG